CAAAAATCTCTATCCAAGAACATTTTAACAGAGAAAACCCTATACAGGATGACCAGTTAGCAAGCAGGGTGTCATACTTAGCCAGAAACTATAGCTAAAGCTGTTGAAAATTTAAAAATTCATAATTCCTATGAAGCTGAACAGCCAGAATACTTCCAAAAACTAGGCTCCTTAAGACATGGGGTTTTTACCATGTTAACAAGACAGTCTTCATGTTTAACAGGTCTGTCACAAAAACTCCTGATCAGATTCTGCCCTCACTTCTGTTGAGAAGAAAAAAAAAATAAATAAATGAATGAAAGTATGGATTTGATATTTATCTGGGTACTCATTTAACCAAGTTTCTTTTGCTGTGTACTTCAACACAGCTTCTAAGCCACAAGATGTCTAATATAATGCTTCACTTTGGCTAGAGATTAGTCTTATTTAACTTGATGTGTCATTACAGAAAAAATAAAGACAACAACAGGAAGCCAAAGGCATTTCTGCATTTAAAAGAGAGAACAACACAGCACTATTCCATTCTAAAAGGTGTATCTCAAAAATATTTTATTAGCCATCTCATATGGGCTGGCAACCATCCATGGCTGCTGCATAAACAGCATGGTAAACATCAGGGGTCAGGTTTACAACTTCTGAAGCAGCAATAGGAGAGCTGAAATGCTGCTCACCAACAAAGAGCTTCATCCAGACTTCTCAGTTTAACAGCTTGTCAATTTTTCCCATCCAATTTTTAAATTGAAAGAGATCAGCTTCCTCAATCTATGTTTTAATACCCAGGAAACAAAAAGCTCTACTACATACACCCTTTAGGATATCACAGATAATAACAAACATTTAATTCATTCAACTACCATTGCTTAATCCACCAGCAATATCAGCATCATTAGTTTAGCCTCCACATTTTGCTCAGACAGGAACACATTTTAGATTAAGCATCCAATTATTGGCTCATAAAGCCACATTACTGGCATTTCCTTCTTAGCAGAGTGTGGTTTAATTGGCAAGGGCCTTTTTTCCTATGACTAGCCTAATTCTAAAGAATGTCATATGCCCTTCTGAACAACACATCAAACTGCAGGGGAAGCACACTGAGCAACACCCTCCTGAATAAATCTGTCTAGCTTATGGCCATTAACACAAATCCCAACTGCTCTTCCCATCAACTGATATTGATGACAGTGACGAGGACACTACAAGCTTGCTTTGGTGGCCATTAGTAAATTCAATTTCATTCTCTTTTTAAAAATAACCAATAATATGTCAAACACTTGTGTATGTATCAAGCTAAAGAGAGTGGTTTAAAGAAGCACAGGTTGACAAATAGCCAAATGATTTCACATTTAGCTATATACAGCATCATATTATATGCTCAAGAGAACAAGACAAAAATATGTGATATTACAATTAGGGATTAAGGTTTTAATGCCACGAATTTAGGATAACTGGCAGTAAAAATATTGAGGAGCTGTTATGCTGGCTACCACAAATGACTTTTTCAGGCCTTTATAACACAACACCATTACATTTTAGAAGTAATAAAAAGTCTCAGAGTTTCTGAAGAACTTTACAGGCAACCTTTCTCTATTCTAGCATCTATAAAGCCAAACTCCTTTTGGGTCATGAACAGAGAACACCAATACACACATATCTTATAAAACTTTAAAACAAAAAAGGCTTTTCCACAGATACTACTTTCTTTGACATTTTAGATAATTAAGATAGGAAAACACTTTTTAGCCATTAATACTTCTTTATAAATGCTATTAGCTTTTAAAATACCAGCTTCGGACTGGCACACCTTTTCTTATGGTCTTAAATGATAACAAAACTCACAAAATAGCTTATTTCTTTTTTCCCCTGTTTACAGCACTTCTCTTCACCTCCAAAAGGTGAAACCCAAAGGATCAAGCAGGAAATATTAATGCCTGGATTGAAAAACACAAAATGTAACAGGGAGGAGACCTTCCAAGGGGACAAAGAACACTTTGATCAGTTTTAAGATACTGGGTTTTCAATCACAACACTCCTGTGACAATTGTGGCAGGCAGTCCATGGGGACACTCATTTGCTCAGGACATAGATACTGCTGTGTTCTTCACTATCATGACAGATCTGAGATTGTCAGTGTGACAGCTCCTTTGTGAACACAGTTGGAGACCCAGATGAAAATCCGCAAAAGCAGATAAAGGCAGCAGTTGCACTCATGAAGTCAACTGTGTGCAGCTGAGTCTCTCTTAGTATACGATTACAAGCACAGTTCCTCTTGAAACAAGAACATGCACTTCCTGAAAAAATAAGTTACACCAAACATCATGCTTCAGAACAAAGTGACTAATGCTGTCTCTTCACTAGGCAATATGCACTGAAAACTTCTTTCATACAATATTAGAAGTCCTACCTTTCCCTCTAGGGCCTGTATAACTGAAGTCAATGTGATGGGGAAGTCTTGCTTTTATAAGCAAAGACCAGGAAGAAAAATAGCATTTTTACCTGTTAAATACAAAATACCTGCAACCAACAAAAGCCCTGATGATGTGGTTCAACAGAAACACTTCATTAGCATTCGTTGGGATGATAGACAGAAATCATTCATGTGTTTGCCATGGATTACACTCTCACAAATTCAATTCCAGACCATAGCATCCTGCCCACATGGAATACAACCACCAAAGGTTTTTCCAAGCACACATGCACCAAGAACACTGCTGGCTGCAACAGGCACAATTACGGGACTCCAACTTTCCAATAGCTTCATCAACACACAGGTGTCTGTTGCAGGCTGGAGTTTTTTACAAAACTTAAATATTGGGACTTTCTCGGGAAGTTCTTTAGGGTAAAAAGCATGTCGACTTCCCTAATTATTTAGGTATCTTTTTATTTGGGGAAAAAGAACCCCTCAAAACAAAATAAAACAAAAAAACCCAGGTTTGGGCAGTCAGGTGCCACAGAGTAGCCAGATACAGGACTTGAGAATACTCTCAATCCTCCCCTGCTTAGGTACTCTGGCACTGAAAAGAAAACATAGCTTGAGCTCAGCACTGGAGTCCAAATGCAAGGCAGAAGCAAGAAATATGAAGGGCATGACACAGTGAAAGGATCAGGGGAGTACTGGAGAAAATATTCCATCAAAAATGAGCTAAGCTGAAACTGGAACTCCTGAAGCTCCATTAGCAAGTATTTGTAAAATCCACTTGAAAAATTCACACGGTATCTTTACTTCCAGTGACTCCTCCATACTGCAGTTACAAACTATATTTAAAGAAAATTACTTAGAACCATGCTTTTCAAACTATTTAGGCAATGTGTCACTTCCTTAAGATAAAAGCTGTTTTATGAATGAACATAAGTGACTGCAAAGACAGTTGGACTCACAGCAAAGAGATGTTGTGTCTCTTCCACAGTTCAAATTCATATTGCTTTATAGGTTATGATTTATGATTCAAACTGAACTTGATAAGCAGTTACAGATCAAATTCTTCCTTCTTGGGACCCAACAGACAACACTAACTTGCAGCATCTTTATTCTACAAATATTGCTGCAGTAAACAACTATAACCAAAGTCAATATGAGAATACAACCTCAATAACAGAAATGCTAAAATAAATACCAAATTTTCCCAGGAGGTCAGTTTGGAGGAGTCTTCTACACACAGAAAAAATACCTGATTTTATTGAAGTTACCTGTGCACCAGTGTCCTGTCTATACAAAGGGTATGATATACTTTGTTCATCACAAGGGGTACAAGTAAGATTAAGCTAACATTTGCAAACCCTTTACATGCTACAGGGCAGCACCAGTGGAAGAACTGAGCAAAGTAGTAGTAATTCTGTATTCAGACTGGTATTTGAATGATGCATTAGACCACATGCTGCATAAAATAGCACAACAGACTGAAAGCAGTTCATTCAGAAGATTGGTCCAGTATAGAAGGGAGAAAGGGAGGGTGAGGCAGAAGGGGAAGAATCTGATCACATAATTACAGGCTTTCTGACAATGCACGCACACAAAAGCAGCCATATCAAAATTTTTCTATACACTCTTAACACTGTTTTATTTTTCTTCATTATTAACTGCGTGATGGTTCTGTCACTATTTACAGCTATTTTTAAGAATTTCAGACAAGCAACACAGCATGTGTCCATATATCAGAAAAGAAATAAGGAGCATCTATAATGCAATGTAAAATCTATTCGTTTTCCTTCTTACAGCACATAGCCAGTGGATTCCATGATCGCACACTACCATTAGGAAACCAGCATCACCAGATTTATGTTTAACTAACTGCCTTCTCATTTAGATAACAAGACATAAGGGTTCTGTATGGTAGCATAGAATAAACATTATGAAAGTAGTGACTGATTTTGCCAATCGCAATAAACGTTCTTCACCATATAGCCAGTATCTGCTACTGTTTCCATTTTTACATTGAAAACACTATTATTTTACAATCTATATATACAAGGTACGGCTTATTGCCATGTAATCTTGCTCACTCTAATGGCAGCTACGATGAATCCATATAATACAACCAAGAAATTTCCACGCTGACCATATACAACATTTTTAACATGTATTCTTTAAAAATCATTACCTGTGTATACTTTAGGCTATCTCCACCTAAAGTACGCTCTCAAGACCTTGGATAAATTTCAAAGACATTACATTATTTATACTGGGATGAGGGAGAGGGTGGTTAGATAGGGAAAACATGAGGAACTCTGATTATACAGCTGCCATCTTTCTCCATCAAGAAACAATCCAGGTTTCCTTTCATGCATTTGTGACACTGTAATAACCATCATCTACTTGACTTTAATTAAGAATATATAAAAATTAATATTTTTGTCTTTGGAGAATTATCCCCAAGTGATGTCTACTAGAAAAAACAAACCAAAGGCCTCATTTAATCCACCTACTCCAGTGTTCAATTTCGCCCACAATGCGTAACTGGAATTGCAAGTGGATTTAAAGAGACCATGAGAAAGAAGGAACTCACCATTCTAACTACTTCAGGGTAAGTCTGCTCTGTCAAACAGCCTCTGCTTATTGTAATGTAGTCCACCAGTTCATTAAGAGTGGAGCGCTTGTATTCTTTCATTTTAAGGTCTGAAAGCGTGTCCATGAAGTCAAAAATGACACAGCACTGTTGAAGTTTCTTTAGGAACAGTTCAGGCTGCTCTGAAGATGGAACGTCTATGAAACAAGAAAGGAAATCTTTGTGAGTCTGGCATCTTATTATACAAAACAGGATTTCTTTCTGAAGATCAATTTCAAAGGAAAGCAGCATTCATACAATTTTTGTAAAACAGAGCTCAGATTAACAAACCCCGTATAGGAACTGTATTACTATTGTGTGTTTCAGACCTCGAACAACATGCTGTAGAAGTAATTTAATCATCACCTGCTATTAAGAAAATAAAGTTCACCAAAAAAATGCAGGCTGAAGTGGCAAATGCACACACAACAGCATTCAAGACATAATTCTGTGATACACCACTGCTTTCATTGGAGGCTGACATTCACCATCAGTAACTTACACTCTGAAGAAGGATGAAAGAACTGTCAAACAGATCAAGCTTGATTAATTTATATTTCTAAACCCCCAATCTAAATATACATAAACATGTATATGAATACACAGCAAGACCATAATTCTGCAAACAAGTTTTCAGATTCAATCATTACCCCAATGTTGACACTTTCCACAGCAAAATCAATTTTACTGAAACACAGTAAGGACTATTTGCTGTACTATGAATATATAACATACATCGATAGGAACATTTTCACAGAAAATAACTGTATGTGCTTGACCAGTAAAGTAAGCAGAATGTACTACTTACTACTTTTGCTGTTTTCTTAATTCTCAGCAGATAAAAAACTTAATAAAATAGGAAAAGGAATGTAAATTTCCTCGTGGTTTGTTAGTTTACCAAGCGCATCAAAAGAGCACACAGAAAGCTTAATTTATCCAATGTTCATGTACACAAGAGGCTAACAGTAGAAAGTTGCAGAAATTAAATACACATTTCTACTCTGAAAGTATGCCCTCAAACAAGAGAGCACTTCACTTCCTTGGGTAAACTTTTTAAAGGCACAAATGCTCTGTCAGCACCAGAATCCAGCAAATGACCTTCCAAGCCTCAATACAGCATGTGAATGAAAACTTTTGCTGATTTCAACCAGAAAATTGTAATAGTAAGAACTGATGTTCATTTCCTAAAACTTGGACATACTTGTAAAAAGCCAGCCTTAGACAGAACTTCTTTTGGCTGACACAAGAGTATATCAAGTTAAGGAATACTTGGCAAACACTGGAAACTGTTAGTAACTGTACAGGAGTTCTAAGGACAAAGTACCATGAGTCTGTTTTAATTAAAAAATACACAACAGTTACTAGTTTGAAGTTCAAAAGACCTATGAATATACAGTATACTATTAAAAGTAATAATAGAGATGCAAGGACCCCAAGGCACTTCACATCAACTCTCTGTATTGCTTAAACACTGGAAAGAAAAAATATGGACTGCAGTACAAAGATGCTACACAGTTTCTGACCTGACATGATGAAGTACAACAGTTTATTCAACCTTTTTCTGCTTATAGTACTGCAGTAGTGACGGGATTCAAGAGGTTGTGTAAACTGCATCCTATGAAAAACAACCAGGATCTGGGTGAAGTTTAATTGATGGTATCAGGCAGTACACACCAATCTCTTATTCATTAGGCTTGGGTAAGCTCTGCAACAGCTGTGTCCAAGGGAAGATAAGGGGGAGGAGGGAAGCATTACAGTTATGACACCACATTTCATATCATCGGAATTGTTCACCCCATGTTCCCAAAGGAACAGTGGAACATCTGTGGCACAGAAGATGCAAGAAATGTGGTCCCACAGAATCCCAACAAGAGCAGCTATGCAGCCTCCCCAAACACCTCTGGAAAAATGAAGGTCCCAAAACCAGGTCACCCTAAAGCCATTCCACTGGCCAGTTCTCTCTCACAGGTTCAAATGCCTCACAAGAGGCAGTGCTGAAACCTAAGATAAGACAAGGAGTCAGAGAAACTCATTAGCCTTCACCCATAACAAAAAATAACCACTTCTGAAAGCAGCCTTTCTAAGGTTACAGCCTCACAGGAGATAAAGAGCCTGGGGAAGCAAAGTAGTTGTGACTGCTTTCTTGACTACCTGCCTTCAAATAATACAAGAAAGTAGAGTGGACTTCAGAATTCAGTGTTATTAGCATGCAGGCAACAGTTAATCAATTAATAATTTATTTCCAAAGCCAGATTGTAAATACAAGCTGAAAAAAGAAGAACAAGAGGGGAAGAAGATAAAATTGCAATTAGTTACTTTTCAAGAGTATTATTTCTTTCCTACACGATCTATAATCCATCAAAGAACTTGACAACATGTAAATGGTATCAATAAAATCTATGATGTTACACAAACGTTGTTTTAGTTGCATTGTTCTACATGGCTTTCACACATTCACTTTGAACAACAAGAATATCACGGTCAAAGAAAAAAACAGGCTGAAATCAAATGGGACTCCATTAAGATACAATTCAGCACAAGTTATAACCAGATTCATATGACTCAAGACAACACTCATTCTGAGGTAGGGTTGGTATTAAATAAAAATTTAAAAATGACTAAAGCATTAAAGTAACTAATAAAGTTTGTTTTCAGTTTTCCTCCAGTTGAGTGTCTGGAGGTGTGGGAACAGAATGAAAAATATAATTAAGTTCTTCTCAAGAAAAACCACTCTAGAACAGTATATGAAATCCATTGCTGCCTTACTACATCAATGAGCCATGTGAACTGTAGTGGTAAACCAAAAAAACAAACCCAATCAAAAAAACCCACAACCAACCAACAAAAAGAAAAAAAAACACCACCAAAGCCCCACAAAATAAAACCTAACAAATCAATTGTTCTGGTCAGATCTGCTTTTCTTTATTAAGCAAGTTGCCATTTACACTGCAAAACAAAAATGGAAGAAATTTCACGCAATAATATTTCTCATTTTTCTTGAGGATTCAGGGTGCCTTGGGAATAGGGTAACACCTCATGCCTCCATTTTTTTCTACTTGGAAACAGCAAAAATATATGAGAATACATTTTAACGGGGTCCTAATATGCACAGCACAAGAAAAGGGCAGCAGAAATCAGTAAAAGCAGCATTCCATGTTCCCAACCTTCTCACAGAGATCATGCTATTAGTTGGCTTGGGTTTGGGTTTGGTTTTTTTCCTGGTGTTTTCTTGTTTGGTTGGTTGTTTTGTTCTGTTGGGTTTTGGGGTTTTTTTGGGGGGAGAGGGGTGTGGTTTGGAGTTTTTTTGTGTGTGTTTCACAGCTGTACAGACCTTACCAAAAGATCACTAAGGGTAGACTTCCACAGCCACCCTTTTGCTATTTGGAGCAGAAAGCGCACTGGTGCTTGGGGTACAGACCTAGGGAGCTCCATAATGCAATGACTTGAAACAAAATATGCAGTTCCTTACAGGTGTTCACACTTTGCTGATGAAAAACAGCGAATCATTTTCTTCTAGCAGAAGGATACTCAAGAGCTTTCAATGAATTCTACAACATCCTACTCTTCAGCTAACTTGCAGCCAAACATTTAGGCCCCAAAATTTAACAACCTGCGATATTACATTGTAACTACTTTTGGTTGAAAGAACTGAAAAGTGAGCAACTGCTCTGATAAATCTGTGTAAATACCTATAATACTTAAATCATCTAATAAAATCAAAATGACACAACTAGTGGCGTCTGTGATTTATGACGAATGCACAGGAGAGTATGTATTTATTAAAATAAAGATTTAAAGAAAGATAAACTTCCATCTGGATGACTGTGAGAACTCTCTCATTTATCAGGTCTTTGCTACAAGTTAATTTTCAGGCTTATCGGTTTTCTTGTTAGCTACTGAAACCTATACAGAGCTTTTGAAATACGCTCTGTATTCAAAGATTCAAAGGAAACTGGCTTAGTGAAAGCAAGTACTAATACATCTGAACAACGATAATCAAGAGAGCATAAGAGCCTTTAACAAAAGCAACTCCTTTATAAAGGTATCAGAAAAATTGTCTGAAAGTAATTTTTTTTTTTTAACATGGACAAATAATTGTTACTACAAGGGTTGAAATGGCCAAAGCAATCCAGTTTCTCTCTTAATAGCCTTTCCCAAAATAATCCTAATCCAAGCAGCCCATCCCTCTCATCAGCCATCTCTGCAGTGTCTGCCTTCTGCATCTTTTATCAAGTAAAGAATAAAAATCTGATACCATACTTCTACTGCAAATCTCTAACATACATAAAAAATATTCATGTTTAGACTACATTCATATTTTAATTAGGTATTTACAAGTAAACGATTTTGGATCATAGAAAACTAAAACTATGCATTAGACCAGCAAAAGTGCATCTAGAGAACTGAGCTGTGGTTCTCTTCTCAGTGGCAGCGAAAAGCCAAGAATGGGGAGAAACTAAACACCTGGATCAGTTCCCTGTTCCACTTCAGCCTGTAGTTTTCCAATGAAGGGTATAATGCCAGGAAGTGAAGGTGGGGGAAGGGACTGAGCTGCTTAAGACCAGCACAGCAACAGCAAGGAGAAGTCCCGGAATTGCACATGCAAGAGGTAATAGGGCTTTGAATGAGACGAAAACAGGACAAATTATGCAGATCACATATAAAATATTAAGCAAAACTAGGATATGCTCACACATGCTACCCTGCACCCACATATGTACTATCAAACGTTTATTAATAATTAAAACCAAAATGCCCTCAGAGTTAACTACTGCTTCCAGTACATAAATTACTGTTATTAATCAGCTTGAAGGTGACATTTGCATAAGGAACTAGCATCACCTTTTTGTTTGATAGTAAAAGCAACCACCATATTAAGCATGAAAAGTAAGAACACACATACTAAACCCGAAGTATGTCCAGAATGTGGGACAGTAAGATTAATACTAACTTTTTTACTCACATCAATTTTAAAAACTTCCTTACAATTTCCCAACATCTGAGAACTCCATATTCAATTGCCTCTGCCCACTGGGATTCTTTCCTATATTCTTTCCCTATCAACTTAATGGCAAAATAATTCCCCAACTTTTCTTCAGTTTCCCTATCTCCCAGTTATTAAATAAACCTAGGACTATTATTTTTCTAGTTGACTAAAA